AGCAGGCCCTATACCATTTCACACAAGTGGCTGTCCAGTCTCTTCTTAAAAACCTCCAGTGATGGAGCACCTTCTTTATCTACTATTTCAGACAAATGTCTGTCCAATCTCTTCAGTTATAAGTAACTGAATGTTATATCTTGTGATTTATGATTGTATTTTATGATTATGATAATGATTGATCATTTGTTGCTGGTATGTACACTGAGGGTTTATGCACAGGAGACAAATTTGTGTGTCCAATCACAAGGCCAATAAAGCTTCTCTTCTCTTCTCTTCCCTTTCCTTCCCCATCTATTTACTTCTCTTCTCTTCCCCATCTATCTTCTCTCTTCCCTTCCATTCCCATCTATTTATTTCTCTTTTATTCTCTTCCCTTCTTTTCCTTCCCTTCTCTTCCCTTCCCCATCTATTTGCTTCTCTTTTCTCTTCTTTTCCCTTCCCTTCTCTTCCCCATCTATTTACTTCTCTTTTCTCTTCTCTTCCCTTCTTTCCCTTCCCATCTCTTCCCTTCCCCATCTATTTACTTCTCTTTTCTCTTCTCTTCCTTTCTTTTCCTTCCCTTCTCTTCCCTTNCAGCCTCTCACCCCCAACAATCTGGGTCCTCATTTTACCGATGTCGGAAGGATAGAAGGCTGAGTCCACCTTGAGCTGGTCAGGATCAAACTCCTGGCTGTGGGCAGAGTCAGCCTACAATACTGCATTTTAACCACTACGGCATCATGGATGGATGGATGGATAGATGGATGGGTGGGTGGGTAGAAAAAAGGAAGGAAGGAGAAAAGGAAGAGCAATAGCACTTAGACTTACATGCCGCTTCCCAGGGCTTTTACAGCCCTCTCTGAGCGGTTTACAGAGTCAGCCTCTTGCCCCCAACAATCTGGGTCCACCTTTTACCAACCTCGGAAGGAGGGAAGGCTCAGTCAACCTTGAGCTGGTCAGGATCAAACTCCTGGCTGTGTGCAGAGTCAGCCTGCAATACTGCATTCTAACCACTGAACACCATGGAAGGAAGGAGGGAGGCAGGGAAGGAAAGAAGGAAGGAAAGAGCATTAGCAATAGCACTTAGACTTATATACCACTTCACAATGCTTTATAGCCCTTGATAAGCGGTTAAAGAGTCAGCATATCTGAGTGAGAATCGAACTGATGGCCGTTAGCAGAATTAGCCTGCAATACTGTATTCCAACCACTGCATCACAGAAGGAAGGGTAGATGGGTAGATGGAAGGAAGGGAGGGAGGGCAATAGCACTTACTTATAAAATGGGGCTATGGTGGGGTGGTGGTGGTTGTTTGGTTGTGCATGGCCTATAATTTGCCCTTTCTTTCCCTTCTCCCTGAATACCAAATATTTTGGCCCTGCAAAATGCATTGGAAAGGAGGGGAGGTTTCCCACTGGTGCAGTGTTCTAAAGTTGCTTCTCAAGTCAAGGACCCCGTGACATTCTTTGATTTCATTTTTATTTGAGTCCTGCCCTCCTCTCCCTCTTCACTGGCATCCTTTTCTTCTCTCTGAAGTTCCAGGTGCTCTTCGGAAACCTCGTTGCAGTCTTGTGGTTCGCCTACTTGGCGTCAGTCAAGAAGAGATGAGGCGAACGCCACGGCATCTGGGCCAGCAAAGGAAGTGGCCATGGTTTTTCCTCCCCCCCCCCCCGAGGTGGTGGAAGGAGGGAGCAGAGGGAAGGTGGCTTGTGAGCCTGGTGCCCACTTCCCTCCCTTTGCAAGTTGCCCTCCGGCTTTTCATCCTCACCTGGACGAAGGGACTTCTCCTTGTTGCTGCTCCCCTTCAACACACTTAATAGCCATGACTAACAAGAGGCCATTTTGTGCTCTTCTTTTCAGATTTTTTTCCAGGTGCAATTGCTGGGAAGGTTTTTCTGCCTTTTTCTCACATAGCATTTAAAGGGTGGTGGGTGAATCTGTGGGCAGGGATCAGAACAGGCCATAAATATATGTCTGGGCATGGTTTCCTGAGCAATAAACTTTAACGAGAGCAGTCTTTTGAATTAATTTCGGCGACAATTAAATTAGTTGCAGATGTTTTCCCTGTGCCCCAGTAATGTTTTATGCATCATGGCCATATTTTTGTCCTCAAAGATAATCAATGCCTGGTTGTAAATGTGCGGACTAAACGTAATTTCTAATGTTAGATTTTCCCCCTTAGCAGAGGGAGCCTCCTTGTGGGGTATTGTGAAGCCATTACCATGGCAACTCCACTGTGCTACACAATATAAGCCGTTTTACGACAGTACGGTAGAAGCCATTTTAAGGCACAACAGGCTGTATCTTAACAGAATACACACCCTGAGGGTTGTTAGGGGTGTCTTACCCCTACTAAGTATTTGTTTCCATTTGAACAGGTGTTCAGGTCTGCTATCTTCAGCTTCTTTGCTTCGCTGGCATCCTGCCCTAAATGCAGGGGAGGTGGGGAAGGAATTTGGGGAAGCAAAGGTCTGCATGGGATGCGGGGAGACAAGCTGATGAAAACCAGAGGTGCCAAACTAGAGTAAGCCAGCCACCAAGGACACCTGGGAACAGAAGGCGAAACTATATGGAACGGCGCCAAGCAACAAAACAGTTCCTGAAACATCAGTAAGGGATACTGTTGGGCACTGATGGACTGGTCAATGGGAAAGAGCAGAGGAAAGGGAAAATGTGCAACCTTTGTGCGGGAATACTCAGATCTAGCTTTCCTTTCGCTGCAACCACTTAAGTTTAGTAAAATAACCTTTCAATTCAACTGAATGGAGTTGAGGGTCTTTTTTCTTAGAGATCTAAGTTGGGGCAGGACTGACAGCAGGTTCATAGGAAAAACCAATTTAATTTGCAAGTAATTAAAGAGGATGCAATATTTCCTAAAAGTGGAGAACATGAGGTCCTGAGGGTGTGCCTTCTACTGCTCAGGACTGCCGCATGACAAGACCCTTATGCCAGTGATGAAATTCATTTTTTTTACTACTGGTTCTGTGGGCGTGGCTTGGTGGGCGTGGCAGGGGAAGGATACTGCAAAATCTCCATTTCCTTCCCACTCCAGGGGAAGGATGCTGCAAAATCCCCATTCCCACCGCACTCGGGCCAGTCAGAGGTAGCATTTGCCAGTTCTCNGTATATAAGTCTACTGCTATTGCTATTGCTATTTGCCCCATGTTACGACCCTTCTTGTCATAGCTGTTAAGTGAATCACTGTGGTTGTTAAAGCTAGTCAGACGGTTGCTAAGTTAATCTGGCTTCCCCGTTGGCTTTGCTTGTCAGAAGTTCACAAAAGGGAATCACGTGACACCCCTCCCCCCAGGACATTGCAACTGTCAGAAATGTGAGTCAGTTGCCGAGCGTCTGAATGGTGATCTCGTGGCCATAGGGATGCCGCAACGGTCGTTAAGTATGAAAAATGGTCATTGGTCATTTGTAACTTTGAACAGTCACTAGGCACATGGTTGGAAGACACAGGAACAGTGAAAATCTTGCTCTAGGTAGTCTTCGAATTATGGCCACAATGGAGCAAACATTTTGTTAAGTGAAATGGTTGTTAAGTGAGTTTTGCCCTATTTTGCGACTTTTCTTGCCAACATTCGTAAGTGAACCACTGCAACAGTTAACCTGTTGCAGTTAACCTGTTGTTAAGTGAAACCGGCTTCCTCTTGTCGGAAGGTCACAAAAGGGGATCACGTGACCCCTGGGGAAACATTGCAACCGTCGTAAATGTGAGTCAGTTGCTGAGCATCTGAATATTGATCTTGTGACCATAGGGATGCCGCAACAGTTGTTAAGTGAGAAAAATGGTCATCGGTCACTTTTTTTCTGTGCCATAACTTTGAACAGCCACTAAGCGCATGTTTGGAAGACACAGGAACAAGGAAGATCTTGCTCTAGGTAGCCCTCGAGTTACGGCCACAATGGCCCCCACATTTTCTGTCAAGCAAAACAGTCGTTAAGTGAGTTTTGCCCCATTTTGCGACCTTTCTTGCCACTTGTTAAGTGAACCACTGCAGCAATTAATCCATCTTAAGTGAATCCGGCTTCCTCTCGTTGGAAGGTCGCAAAAGGGGATCACGTGACCATCGTAAATGTGAATCATTTGCTGAGCGTCTGAATTTTGATCCCGTGACCATGGGGAAATGCTGCGACGGCCATTAAGTATGAAAAATAGTGATTCCCTTTTCTTTCAGTGCCGCTGTAATGGCGAACGGTCACTAAACGAACCGTAGTAAGTCGAGGACGGCCTGTGCCAAGGCCTTGCTCAGAATTCTGGACTGCGAGGGGAGATCTCACGGTCCTCCTGCCCGCGGCGTCTCCCTTTTGCCCGTCTCTGGGGCTTCGCAGCCCACCGGGTTCCTCCACTTGCCGTCACTCAAACCTCCCTCAGAGCCGTCCTCGACGGCGACACGGCCACCTTTCGCGCGCTGCCAAACATTTCGCGAGATCCGCCAAGAGTTCGCAGTTCTCGCGCCCCGATTCCTTAAACCAGGGATGGGGAAACCATCCATTTATGAGTTGTGGACTTCCACTCCCAGAATTGCTCAGCAAGCATTGGCTGGCTGAGGAATTCTGGGAGTTGAAGTACACAAGTCATTACAAGACCATAGTTCCCCACCCCTTAAACCAATCAGATTTCTACGCCTGGGTCTCGCTACTACGCGACGACCAATGGAGAGGAGCACTTTTCCATTCTTTTTCTCCAAAGAGCTGTCATCCCCACCGCTGTCTGTATTCGTCCCTCCTCTCCGTTCCATCAGTCCATTCGCTAATGCACTTGTCCCGCCCTCACACTCTCTTCTTCGATTGGGTGAAGTGGCTCATCTTATACTGCCACCCAAGCTTCTCACCCTCCCTCGTAGGCCTTCCGGGCAGCCAATAGTAAGCGAACAGCCCGCCTCCGTCATGCCCACTCGTTGCCTGAAATCCGCCCCAAAGCGCCCCCACTTTTTTTACTTACCTCTCCGCCGATTGGTTTAGAAGTGGGAGGCGCGGCTCCTCGGCCGCCAGGCGCATGCGCAGAGGGGCTCGCAGGGTTACTGACTCTACGGGATGTCTCCGGTGCACTCTAAGCCTGATTCGGTGCCGCTCTCGCGGAGGCTGCTGTTGCGGTACCTGCTCCTTCTCCGTCTATATCCGGTGCTCACCAAGGCAGCTTCCAGGTAGCGTGCGCCTGTCTGCCCTCCTCGACGCGCTTTCAGAATCAGGGCTGGAAGGGACCCTAGAGGTCTTCTAGTCCACCCCCACCTCAAGCAGGAGACCCTCTGCCAGTCAATCAGAATGGAACTGGAAGGGGCCCTAGAGGTCTTCTAGTCCACCTCCCCTGCTCAAGCAGGAGACCCTATGCCATCAGACAGGTTGCTGTCCAATCTCTTCTTAAAAACCTCCAGGGATGAAGTCAGGGAAGCACACAGTTCTGTTGATTAATTGTTCTCACTCTATTTCTTTCTCCTTGGGATCTTCTCTTCCAAGGTCCAGAAAGATTCAGTCAATCAGCATAGAATGATAGTCATGGAACAGGCTTCTCAAGAGCGCCCTCCCATGCTGGGATAATAACTCCCCCAAGAATATCAATCAATTAATTGATCAGAATAGAGCTGGAAGGGACCTTGTAGGTCATCTAGTCCAACCCCCCCCCACCCGAGCAGTAGACCCTACACCATTTCTGACAAATGGGAGTCCAGTCTCTTGAAAGCCTCCAATGACGAAACTCCCACAACTTCCAAAGGCAACTTCTGTTTCATCGGTTGATTGTTCTCCCTGTCAGAAAAATTCTCATTTCCAGGTTGAATCTCCTTGTTCAGTTTCCATGATTCCTTGTCTGGCCTTTGTGTGCTTTGGGAAATAGTTGACCCCCTCCTCTCTGTGGCAGCCCCTCAGATACTGGAAGACTGCTATCCTGTCTCCCCTGGTCCTTCTCTTCACTAGACCAGCCATGCCCAGTTCCTGCAACCGTTCATCGTATGTTTTAGCCTCCAGTCCCCTCATCATCCTGGTTGCTCTTCTCTGTACTTTTTCTAGAGTCTCAACATCTTTTTTATAGTGGTGACCAAAACTGGATGCAGTATTCTAGGTATGGTCTTACTAGGNTTTCTCCTCTTACTTCCATCCCCCTCCATCTCTTTTTGCCCTCCTTCTCTTCTTCCTTCCACCCTCCTTCTTCTCCCTTTCAATCCTTATTTTTTCTTCCATTCTCCTCCTCCTTACATCCTCCTCAATCTCGTTTTGCTCTTCCTTCTTCCCTCCCTCCCTCCCTCTTCTCCTCTTCCTTCCTCAATCTATCCATTGTGAAATTCAAGAACAGTGAATTTTCAAGGATAACCCAATTGATTAGGTAGAAAACATGAGAGCCCAATTCACACCCCAATGCAAAGTCAAGGTATCCCTCCCAGACTATAAACGGAGCCTGGTCTGCGGGCAGGCTCACCCACCCACCCAAAACCTTCCATCCATCTGCGGCACACCCCTTCAGTATATGCTCCAAGACACAGAACCTCCTCTCGGTTCCCTTCCAATCTGTCTGCGGAGCCAAAAAAACACTCCCAAGAATGCCAGCGGCGGCATGCTTTCAAGTCCTAATTCATAGCTGGCAGTGCCAAGAGTTCAACACTTCAAAGACGCTCACTCCCAGCCTCCAAGAACCGATTCTCAGGCTCCGAAGCCATTGTGCCATTCCGCAAAGCTCCTATTCCCCTCTTTGCAACTTTGGTTTGGGGTGGTGGGGTTCACGCCAGCTGAGTGAGTTTGCCTGGGAACTCTGCCCACTTTTGGGGATCCGTCCCTTGGGGGTGCTGGGAGATGTTCTCCCATCTTGGAGCTGAGCTGACTTGAAGACTGGGCTGGTGTCTTCTGACATGTTAGAGTTTTGTGTTCCCAGCACTTGTGAGCTTGGGAAAAAGCATCTGGAACAAAGTGCAGGGTGCACCTTTTGGTGGGGGATGGATGTCCCAACATACTGGATTTTGTAGTCCCAATCTCAGCTCAGCAAATAGCAATAGCCCTTAGACTTATATACCTTTACAGCCCCTCTCTAAATGGTTTACAGAGTCAGCCTCTTTCCCCCAACAATCTGGGTCCTCATTTTACCCACCTCGGAAGGATGGAAGGTTGAGTCAACCTTAAGCAGATCAGAATTGAACTGCTGGCAGTGAGCACAGTTTGCTAGCAATACTGTATTCTAACCACTATGCATCATGGAAGAGAGGGAGGGAGGGAGGGAGGGAGGGAAGGAATAGCACTTAGATTTACATACTGCTTCAATGCTGTATAGCCCTCTCTAAGCGAGGGTTATAAAGTCAACCTCTTGCCCCCAACAATCTGAGTCTTCATTTTACCCACCTTGGAAGGACAGAAGGCTGAGTCAACCTTCAGCCTGGTGAGATTTGAACTGCCAAACTGCTGATAGCTGGTGATCAGCAGAAGTAGCCTGCAGTACTGCACTCTAACCACCGTGGCTCAAATGCAGCAGTGAGCTGGTGAATATGGGTGTCCTCAGGCCAACTACCCTTTGAATAACAGAATAATAGAGAAGGGACATTGGAGGTTTAACAGGTTTAACAGATTTAACAGACTAACAGTTGGAAGGGAGCTTGTAGGTCATCTAGTCAAGCCCCCGCCCAAGCAGGAGACCCTACACCATTTCTGACAGAGGGCAGTCCAGTCTCTTCNCCTCCTCCTCCAGCCCTCTAGCAAATCTCATTCCTTTCTAAACCTGACAAGGTTTCCTAGTTGGGTCATGAAACATCTGCAAGAAAACCCCCACGCTCAGAGAGCACCAAGGACCCCACCGTTCATCCCCGAGGGACAAAGATCCTCTTCTCTTGGAATTCTTGGCTTGTTTTTCAGAGTGCCAACTGCCAATTTGGCGTGGGGAAGGTCACCGAGAGCCAGCTTTCTCAGAACATGGATTTTGCTCCAGGCTAGCAAAGAGGCTCCTCGGCCTCCCTTGATAGGGTTTCGGTAAAAGGGACCCCGCAGCTTTTAAAAAGCTGGTATTTTCTTAGCCGACTGCCCTTTAGGATCAATCCAGCACTGTGTGTTGGTTGAAGAGCCCTTTGTCCCTCAACAGCAGAAGACCACGAAGTGTGGAGAGGGATGGGGAGACATCTCCAGGCTCCCAGCTGGGATGGCCACGACTGGTGCCAAACTCCCTACAGGAAGGGCAAGGGGAATTGTCTGTCACGCAGTGGCCATGGCCCTGGATTACAATGGGGCCACGGTGGAGGACAATCACCGCTGCTTTCTTGCCACGTTTTGGTGGCTCCTCCAACGGGTCCTTCTGGGGATGAGAATGCTATCTGATCTTCCCCTGGTGGTTTGGTGGAAGTGGTGTAAAGGAAGCAGAAGAGGCAGGCAGGGTTGCTGTGATGAGTGTAGCCCAAAGTGGCCCCAAAGTGTGAGGGTCCCCCCCCTCTTTTGGTTGCTACTAACATGGAATGTGTTTTTCTGCATGCTTTTCTACTCTGGTGTATATTTATTTATTTTTCTTTCTTTATTTTGTCAAACATGTAAAAGAGAACAGGTGTAAGTATAAACATAAATAAGAACACAGTAAATGGGTACAAATAAATGGCGACAGTAGGACAGGGACGTTAGGCACACTGATGCGCTTATGCACGAATGGGGGGAGGTCAACAGTAGACAGTCCTAGGTCAAGTGTTTGGGGATGTAGCAACGGAGTCAGGTAGAGCATTCCAGGCGTTGACCACTCTGTTGCTGAAGCTGAATTTTCTGCAATTGAGTTTGGAGTGGTTTACCTTCAGTTTGCATCGATTGGTTGCCTGTGTGTTAGTGTGGTTGAAGCTGAAGAAGTCGTTGACTGCTAGGATGTTATAGCAGAAGATTTTGTGTACTACGCTTAGGTCAGACTTTAATTGGCGTAGTTCTAGGTTGTCTAAGCCCAAAATGTCAAGCCTGTTGGCGTAAGGGATTGTGAGCAGAGGAGTGGAGGACTCTTCTCGTGAAATACCTCTGGAGCCGCTCAATTGTATAGCTGGTTAGACTTTTGCTGGTGATGGGCACGCTTTCGATCATACTCTCTAGCATATGGCACTTCTTAATTTTTTTAAAAAAAGATGCTCTACATAGGTTTTTTTTTCAGGTCATGCTGCATGAGGTTTATGCAAACTCTTTCCCAGTGTAATCCTTTCCTCTCCTTTTCCTCCTCCTTCTCATTGTCTGTCCTTTCTTCTCCTTCTTCCTCCTACCTCTAATTTTCCTCCTCTTCCTTCTTATTCCTTCTCCTCCCCTTTCTTGTCTTCCTTTCCTCCTTCTTCTCCTTCTCTTCTTCCTTCCATCCTCCTTCTTCTCCTTTCAATCCTTATTTTTTCTTTCATGCTTCTCCTTCTTTCTTCCATCATTCTTTCACCCCCTAATTCCATCCTCCTCCATTTCTTTTTGCCCTCCTTCTCTTCTTCCTTTTATCCTCCACCTTTCTCTTCTTTGTTCCTTCCATCCTTCCCCTTTGTCTTCTTCCTTCCACCTTCCTTCTTCTCCTTTCAATCCTTATTTTTCTTCCATCCTTCTTCTTCTTTCTTCCATTCTTTCTCCTCTTACTTCCATCCCCCTCCATCTCTTTTTGCCCTCCTTCTCTTCTTCCTTCCACCCTCCTTCTTCTNTGGTGACCAAAACTGGATGCAGTATTCTAGGTATGGTCTTACTAGGGCTTTATAGAGTGGGATCAGTACCTCCCTTGATCTTGATTGTATCCCTCTGTTAATGCAACTGAGGATTGTGTTGACTTTTTTGGCTGCCACTGCACATGGTTGGCTCCTATTTAGCTCGTTGTCCACTAAGACTCCAAGATCCCTCTCCCAGTCACTGCTATTAAGCCTGGTTTCACCCAATCTGTATGTGCACTTTTGGTTTCTCTTGCGTAAGTATTAAGACTTTATTTCCCACCCACTCTTTTTGGGGCAGCCCCTCAAATACTGGAAGAATGCTATCCTGTCAATCAATCAATCAATCAATCAGAATAGAGCTGGAAGGGACCTTGGAGGTCTTCTAGTCCAGTCCCCTGCTCAAGCAGGAAAATCTATACCAGTGATAACTAACCTTTTTTGGCTGGTCCTTCTTTTTGTTAAACTAGCCACACCCAGTTCCTGCAACCGTTCATCGTAGGTTTTAGCCTCCAGTCCCCTCATCATCCTGGTTGCTCTTCTCTGCACTCTTTCTAGAGTCTCCACATCGTTTCTACATTAAGGGATCTTTTTTTTTTTACAGCTTATACACTTTTACATTATGCTTCCTTTCTTCCCACAGTGCCTTCCTGTCAGCTCTAGGGAGTCTCCTGTCCCAAGTAATTGAGAAGAGCCAGAAAAAGAGGAGCCTTGACTGGCGGGAACCCCTCCGGTTTGCTATCTATGGGTAAGAGGGGACTGGTGGAAGAAGCTCACAGGAGGTGCAGCTGAGCAATTTGTGTGGTTTGAAAAGTCTGGGAGAAGATCTTGTCTCTGGCATTGCCTTTTGAATGTTGTTATGTCATGGAAAGGGACTTGGTGGCTCTGTGGCTAAGGCGCTGAGCTTGTCGATCAGAAAGGTTGGCAGTTTGGAGGTTCGAATCCCTAGTGCCGTGTAACGCAATGAGTTCCCGTGACTTATCCCAGCTTCTTCCAACCTAGCAGTTCAAAAGCACGTAAAAAATGCAAGTAAAAAAAATAGGGACCACCTTTGGTGGGAAGGGAACAGCGTTCCATGCACCTTCGGCATTGAGTCATGCCGGCCACATGACCACGGAGAAGTCTTAGGATAGCACTGGCTCTTTGGCTTTGAAATGGAGATGAGCACGCCCCCCTAGAGTTGGGAACGAATAGTACATATGTGCGAGGGGAACCTTTACTTTTACCTATGTCATGCAGCCTCTCCAATAAAACTTTAGTTCCCAAAATTGGCGAGGCGACCCTTTCCTCCCATCCGTTGGTATCCAATGTTTTGGTAGCTGTCCCTGAAATGGTTGGATAGACATATGGGTGTTGCATTCCGTTCCCATTCCCATGGGATGTCTTCGAATGGCATGAAGGTCGCTTTCAGTTTCCGCTTCCCCTGTCTTCCCCTTCAGCTGATGGCAGACTGGCATCTATTGCGAGCGAAGGATGGCAACTCTGTCACTCCCCTTCCATTCTTGCAGTGGCTGCTGGGCTTCACTGCTCTTTTGCCTGTCTGAATCATATTAAATTCTTCTGTGTTTTGTTCCAAAGTCCAAGCAAAATGCTTTTATTTCGGTCCAGATTGCCAGGCTTCCAAATAGCAGCCAAAAGTAAATCAGAGTCCAAGGCAAAATATTGCTCAAGGTCTCAATTTATTAAGAGAGCCATGTTGGCACCACTGGGAAAACCCGAACCTCGAAGCTTCCCAGTTTTCCCCACGCAGTTGAAAGTTCAATATCTTGCCCTCACACCCACAAGTCCATCACATGGTCCAATCTTCTGCTGCCATGCTGGCAGTTCCACCCATCCAATTTGGGTCAGGTGCAGAGGTGCAGAGACAAAGGATGACCTTGGCTTTCTAGAAATACTTCTGTTATGGCTACATATTATCTCACTCCGTACAATCCTCCCTCCCATTTTCCCACAATAGAAAATGCATAGTAGAATAATAGAAAGTCTGGCAGGCCAAAGATAAAAAAAAAAAAGATGGCTGCAGGCCTGACATCCCCTTAGCTCTAGCTTTCCTTGACATTCCTTCTCTTTCTATCCTCTTCCTGTCCCTCTGTTCCCCTACCTCTGGACCTCTCCCCCGTTGGTCTGCTTTCTGGGGCTTTCTCGCTTTCTCTCTGTCTGCACTTCTTCCCCATTGTCTTGGCTTTCCTCTCTCTTTCAGCTCTACCTTTTACTTTGCAGACTGTGTAACAATGCTCCACGTTCTGTCATGCCCCCATCGGAGCATGAATCTTCAGGGGAAAACGAGTTGGAACCTGGAGCCGACAGAGGGGGCCGCTTTGTTGGTTTCGGAAGAAAATGGGGAAGGCCAGGGACTTTCAGGATTAGGACAGATTGTTGGCAAGGAGGAAGAGGGGCAGGGTGAACATGAGGGACAGAGCTCAGGTGAGGAGCAAGGATCACCCCCGCCTGATCCAAGAGCACGGAGAGTGGAGAAAAGGTGTGAACAACGCAGACTGAGCAGATTACTCGGGAGAAGAGTTCCCCACCCATTTTCACAAGGCACACCGGGGGAATGAGACTTAAAGAGATGCTGTGGGGAGGGGCATTTGCCGGGCACAAACGCTGAGTTTCTGAAGTGTTAAGTGCCGACATTGGAACTTCCCAAGAGTCCTTGCATTCCTTCTGGTGTTCTGGACTAATTACTTGGATCTTTTGCTTCCTGAACTCCTTGATTTGCCAAATAAATTTGGATTTATTACTGTGTAGCTTTGGTGTAGACAGCGCTGGGCTAGACTCTTTGCAGCCCAGAGGCTACTTGAGATGTGCTATGTGGGGGTTTATCACTACTTTGCTCTGGACGTGCCAGAAACATGGGAGTGTCTGGGGAAATTTGGAGCCATGAAGGGGTGGTTTGAACTTCCAGCTGTTTGTATTATCTGTGCCCTGCTCTGGGTCATCACGCATTCTGTGGTTGGCCAACTTCCCAGGAGCATCTTGAATGGGACTTGGATGATGTCACAGCAGCTCAGCCAATGACTGATGACCTTGGGGAGTGGGTGTTGCAGCCTGTTATTAAATATTAATCTTTTTGAGACTGGATTTTTAAAAACATAAATGTATAATGATATTTTTATTTACCAATCATTGCTTAGTTGAAGAAGATTGCACAAATCAAGTTCTTAAATGTTACCTGCTTAGTTAACAAAATAATACCATATCTATGGTAAGGATAACAAAAATCATAGACCCAAAGATCTCATGATGCTGATTTAAAGTCTCCGTTTCCATAAGTTTTTGGATCAATCAGATTTTAAATCAAACCTTTCATCAATATCTATATATAAGATATATACATTTAGAAACACAAAGCTAATGCTGAAAGCAGAAAAGAGGATAGTTGTTTCAAACCTCAAATTCTTAAGTACATTTTGTGTACGTAAATAAGTTGGTTACCCTGACAAAATGTTTTCTTCTCATGCAACTCCAAACATATCTGGGGTATGGGAAACATTTCCAGAGTGAGCCTTTGACTGTCGCTTTCTAACCATTTGGTGGACTACTTGAAAAATACAGGCAAAGGGGGGGGGGGCTTTTGACACCTACATTTTGTTTGAGGCTCGATTTTATAACCAGTTGGTTTCGTTCCTTTTGCAGTTTCTTATTCACCGGACCTCTCAGCCATTACTTCTACCTCTACTTGGAGCAGCTGGTTCCTTCCGACGCACCGTTTTCTCTCCTCAAACGTCTGCTGGTGGACCGTCTCATTGTCTCCCCGGCCTTCCTGGCCCTCTTTTTCCTGGTCATGAACTTTCTGGAGGTAGGGACTTGCTTAGGGATGATCCAAGAGGATCCAGGGCTCCTAGAAATGGGGGCAGCCGGTTTAACCTGTTCCCCTTGGTAGCATCTAGATGGATGGTTGTCTTCTGCTTGGACATATCTGGTTCTACTGTCCTTACTGGGAAGGGTGTTTTGGTTCCTTCCTTCCTTCCTTCCTTCCTTCCTTCCTTCCTTNTCTTCCATTTTTCTCCCCAACATCACAACCCACTAAGATCAAGGGACCCTGGGTGGCTCAAAGCCCACCCCAGAATCTGATTCCTTTCTCCAGTGAAGGCAATAATGGCAATAAAGATAAAGGTTCCCCTCACAGATATGTGCTAGTTGTTCCTGACTATAGGGGGCGGTGCTCATCTCTGTTTCAAAGCCAAAGAGCCAGCACTGTCTGAAGATGTCTCCGTGATCATGGGGGCGGCATGACTCAATGCCAAAGGTGCAAGGAACACTGTTACCTATTTTTCTACTTGCATTTTTTAACATTTTTTCAAACTGCTAGGTTGGCAGAAGCTGGGACAAGTAATGGGAGCTCACTCCCCTACGCGGAACTAGGGATTTGAACCACCAAACTGCCAACCTTTCTGATCGACATGCTCAGCGTCTTAACCACTGAACCACCACATCCCTTATGGGGCAATTATTTAACTTAGTTTAAAAAATGGTTTTGGAGATATGGAAAGGTTGCCTGCTCCACCTTTGGAAGGATTCTAATCCTTTTCCAGCCTTCAAGCTGACATTTTTGTGACTGTTTCTTCATTCTTGGGTGTGCATATGTGTGTGGGCAATGACTTTTCACTTTTTAAAGGACCTGATTTCTGTTCTGCAGAAGAGAAAAAGGTGCTGAGGGAATTGCACTTGGGTGGAAGACACAGAGGGGAGGATTCAGTATTTTAGACTTCCATGTATTTGCTATACAATGCTAGAAGTACTGGGCATGAACCAGTTTGAGAAGAGACTCCTAGGTCATGCTAAAAGTCTAACTGTGGAAAGAAAGAAAGAGAAAGAGAGAGAGAGAGAACAAAAGAGAGAGAGAGAGAGAAAGAGAGAGAGAACGAGAACTGCTAGGTTGGCAGAAACTGGGACAAGTAACGGGATCTCCCCCCGTAGGGATTCGAACTGCTGAACTGCCGACCTTTTTGATCAATAAGTTCAGCGTCTTAGCCACTGAGCCACCACATCCCTTATAATGGCAATAAGGTAGGGCTAATTAATTCACTTTTTGGCCTGGGGGAGGGCAGAGTGTGGGTCTCTTCCAGAGCTGCTGTGTTCTCTGCCGAGTTTTCTCTTGGATCCCCAGCTGGGAGCTGAAAAATACAAGATTTATTTCCTCTCTACCATTTTTGGCATCTCCTCCCAATCCAATCCAACCCTCTTCCCAAGCTGGTCTTTCAAGTGATGCAACCCTTTCCAAGTTTGGAAGGCAGTGGAAAAGGAACATCTTGAGCGCACACTTCCAAAGCATCAAACATTTATTATTATTTCCTCCTATGACGCAGAAACCATGAGCCTGGTTCTTTATTGGGTCACCTTCATTAGGAGGAACCTAGAAGAATGGTGGCTCAGTGGCTAAGACACTGAGCTTGTCAATCAGAAGGTCGGCAGTTCAATGGTTCAAATCCCTACTGCTGCATAAGGGAGTGAGCTCCCGTTACTTGCCCCAGCTTTTGCCAACCTAACAGTTCGAAAGCATGTAAAAAATGCAAGTAGAAAAATAGGAACCACCTTTGGTGGGAAGGTGGCAGCATTCCGTGCGTCTTCGGTGTAGAGTCTTCTGCTTCGCTGGCTCTTCGGCTTTGAAACGGAGATGAGCACCACCCCCTAGAGTCGGGAACGACTAGCATGTATGTGCAAGGGGAACCTTTACCTTTACCTTAAAGAGGGTATACCACCAGACACACACAGGCATAGTGGACACACAATTGGACACACAATCAATATTTGCCTTATATCCTCTAGTGCCATTACAAATTTACCTCCCACTTTTTCTTCATTGGCTTAGTAATTATGATGTCACAACCTATCCAAAGTGTCTAAATTAAATACATTATCTCCACCCCCGATTATATCTCCTTCTGCCCTTATTTACGAATTTCCTTTTATGGTCCTAATTTCTAGGGGTTGTCTCTAGAGCAGGAGTCTCCAACCTTGGCAACTTTAAGACTTGTGGACTTCAACTCCCAGAATTCAGTTGTTAAAAGCGAGTTTTGCCCCATTTTACGACCTTTCTTGCGACAATTGTTAAGTGAGCCACTGCAGATGAGATGTTGGTAACCCATTGGCTAAGTGAATTTTGGCTTTCCCCATTGACTTGGCTTGTCAGAAGGTCGTGTTGGGAGGAATGTCCTTCTGGGTTCAGTTCCAAACCAGGAGAAAGACATTGGAAACATGGAGGCTGATTGGAAAGATCAGCACATGGTACTGGGCAGCTGATCACATGGAGTTGAGAATGAGAGGTTTTTATACCTTCTCTTCGGCTTTGAACTGGAGCTCCCTGTTCCTGTGCAAGAACATGTATTCTATTAGCTCTTCTAGGGGTCATAGCTAACTTTGTAGGTTGCGAGAGTCCAAGGATTGGTTGAAGTTTGCTGGGTGATGCAATGTGCCCAGTGATTGTACCATGTGATGGGCTCTTCTGCTAGATGGGTTAATACTATTATGTCCCAGAGGGTCATGTCTTAATCCCATCATCCTGGAGCTGGAGGTCTTTTGTCTTGTAGATAGGCTGGCTCAGTCCTTCTCAATGGTCACCAAATATCTGCTGAGGGCAGGGAGCTGCTCTCTGTCTTGTTTTTTCTTTTATCACCCAGGAAAATATAATATTCTGCCTTTATAATATTTCTCATGTTATTTCATTCTTCTGGGGGGGGGGGTTCCCTCAGTCACAAAAGGGGATCACATGACCTTGGGACACTGCAACCATCATAAGTACATGCCAGTTGCCAAGCATCTGAATTTTGATCACCTGACCATGGGGATGCAGCAATGGTTGTATCATAAAAGGTCCTTTTTTCAGTGCCATTTTAACTTTGGTCACTAAATGAACTGTTGTAACTCAAGGACTACCTGTCTTCTACTTTCCACGATTCTTAACTTAGAAGTATGTCAGTCCCTTTCATTTTTAATAGTCAAGGGCAGAGTCAACAACCCATGGCTCTGAAGCCGCATGTGACTTTTTTATCCCTCTGCTGTGGCTCCCTGTAGCCAGTCGGCTCCACAATTGATAGGGCTTTCGGGTTAGGACAGGTAGAGGAAAAAGGACGCCGTGCTAGTAGGAGACTCTATGGTAGGGGAACCGGATATCTGGTCGGCTCCAAAACTGAACGAGAGGGAGGGGGGAGCTTCCAGTTAGCACCTTTGTGGCTCTTTGAGTGTTTAAGGTTGCTGACCAGGGGTGAAATCCAGCAGGTTCTGGCAGGTTCTGGAGAACCGGTAGCAGGAATGTTGAGTAGTTCGGAGAACCAGCAAATGCCACCTCTGGCTGGCCCCAGAGTGGAGTGGGAATGGAGATTTTGCAGTATCCTTCCTCTGCCATGCCCACCAGGCCACGCCCACCAAGCCACACCCACCAAGCCATGCCCACAGAACCGGTAGTAAAAACATTTGAATTTCACCCCTGTTGCCGACCCCTGGTCAAC